AGGTTACTTTCGTGTTTGACATAGTTATTTGATGCAAAAGAAATCTTTAAAAATGGTGAAAGCAAAGTTATTGAATTGAGAGAGAGCAATGAAAAATGAACAAAGATAAAATACGTTAAATATCAATGTGAAACTCATAACACAGTTTTGCAAATGAGGTGTACTACCGAAATTTAAGGTATTAAGCATCTATTGTTATCAATCCCTGAAATCATCCTACAACTAAAATTTCTATATATGTGATTTTCCTTTTCATTTTAATATATCTTTATATTTACTTCACAAATCAATGGGATAAGATATGTGATGAGCAACTGACACTACACAGTTATAAAAGAGTTTTGCCCATTCGTAAAATTTCAGGCGTCTTTTTTTGCAAGATTATTTTGTAATAACTATATAAGGTATTTTCTCCCTCCATCCAGCATGTTTTCGAGGTGTAACGTTACCCCACTCGGCGCGTATTTCTAGAGGTTCGAGTCCCGGTGATGGAATCGCTAATTTTTCACGTCTTCTTGCTTTAAAATAAACTAACAATTCTACAGTGGCGCCTGAACTAAAAGGTGGTGGATGACGATTCTTTACAAGCAGGGGTTGGCGACTCAGTCCCTTAATCCCCAGTCGCCCTTTAAAAGGGGTAGTATATAAAGTACATTTTTTCCTTCCTTCTGTATACCTTCGTGGTGTAACAGTAGCACGCTCGCCACGTATTCGAGAGGTCCAGGTTCGAGTCCCGGCGAGGACATTGCTCATTTTTCATGTATTCCAGCTTCAAAATAACCTAATGACTCTACAACTACTTTAAAAATCATTTCTATTAACTGTTTGTAGCGATATGCGAATAATGACACAATACACAAAAATAAAAGCAAAGACTTCATTTTTAAATTTTATTTAAATAGCCTTTGAAATTTAAGTATCAGCCGTGAGGAGCACTAATTGACTCCTTTTACAACATCTGCTTTTATTTATCACGTTCACACAAGCAGTTATGAAAACAACTTAACCTTTCTCTGATGAATTAATATAAGAAGGAAATTGAAAATGATCAAAGATTTATAAATACTGGTGAAAAAATGCAAGTCCTTCTGATAAATCACCTAGAACGATGAGGCTCCAAAATTACAGTCTGTTGGTTGTGCTATAGTATATTTCTTTGCTAGTATTTATCTTATACAAATGTTTCTATAGAGAATATTTGCAATTTCACTGTTACAACTTTACGGTAACAGAATACTGCATTGGTAGCCATCCTTGTGTATAGGAAATGCATAACGCCACCCTCTCTCTCTGCGAAACGTTTGCTATTCCCAAACATTTTAAAGCAATACATGTCAAAAGTTCTTCTGGTGTGTTTTTACCAAAATGAAGAGCCTCTTATAAAAAATGTAACGTTTCATCCATGCAAGTTACAGTTGTACATCACAGTACTATTCAACTTTAATTCAAAACAGCATAAGGAGTAATCGATTACAATGTTTTTCAGTCCAATTACAAAAGACAAGACATGGCGTCTGGTGACTAGTTTGACATTAGTATGACAACTGCCATTCACGAAACATAGTGTAAGCATAGTAATAAAAATTAAATATAAATTCTACTTTATAAAATGATTGAATGTGGTTCATATTTTGTATCATTTAATACAGTACCATAAGTGTCAAATAAATTGACACTACTAAGTAATAGCCTTTGCCAACTACAGGACTTTTTTTTAATCAAAACAGATGATCTTCAAATTATTTAATATTAAAGTTTCAAAAACCTATAAAAGAGAATTATGAAAAAAATGTTAAAGGAAAAAATTTACTGTATATAATATATGATGAATTTATGCTGTTATGATGTTCGTAATTAGCAGCTTCACAGAAAACTACTGTGTCAGTCAGCCGAAAGGAGGAATCACTACAGTTACTTTCCATTGAGCCTAAACTATTTACTTATATTTTGTAATAATGCAGACCTTTTTAGTTAACAGAAAATTTTAGAGTGATATACAGGGTGTACCGTAAATGTAGCGACAAACTTCTAGGGCAGGTATCATAAGGATTAAGAATTGCATAGGAACGTAGACTCGGAAATGTCAGGGGTAAGTGGTAGCAGAGGTAAAAAACAAGAGCGATTCATTTGAAACATTTATTGGACATGAATACAAATGGTGCACGAAAGCTTGAATGTTACAACAGATGCTCGAAGTCTGCACCATCAGATGCCAGACATGGCTGACACCGATGGACCATTTATTGCCGGACATGTTCAAACACACTGGAAGTTTCTTGACATGTTCAAGCACATTGGAAGTTGCCTGACATGTTCAAACACACCGGAAGTTTCTTTGACAGTAGCAGCTGCGCAGGCGAGTCTTGCCACGAGGTCCATTTTAGACACGAAACTTTTGATGGGTTCCCACAAAAAGAAATCAAGGCTTGATGAATCCGGTGAGTGTGGGGGTCAGGGAACGGGTCTACCACGCCCAGTCCATTAATACGGCAATGATCTGTTCTAATGGCTACGAACATCTAGTCCGAAATGAGCAGCGGCACCTATCATGTTGGAAACACATGTTGCGCCTCACATTTGGTGGAACATCATTAAGCAAATCGGGAAGGACTTGCTCCTGAAAGATCAAAGAACTCGCGGCATTCAAATGGTCCGTCGGTGTCAGGAATGTTTGGCGTGTGATGATGCAAACTTCGAGCATCTGTTGTAACATTCAAGCTATCGTACACCATTTGTATTCATGTCCAATAAATGTTTCAAATTAATCACTCTTGTTTCTCTTCCCATCTTCATCCTCTACTACCACTTACCCCTGACATTTCCGGGTATAGGTTCCTAAGCAATTCTTAATCCTTATAATGTGCCCTACTACCCCTAGAAGTTTGTAGAAACATTGACGGCACACCCTGTATAACTTTTGTAAAATCAATTAAAACTAAAACCAGTAATTCATGGATTATTCCAGACAGATCAAACGGATGGAAGGGATTAATAAAGTGCTTTTTGAGATAAAGTAATTTAAAACGATGACATAACTGTTTCAGAAAGCTCTATTCCGTTAACATAACAAAAGAAAAAAGTTAGTTATTCACTAGATATTGAAAATGAAGTATTCAGTTTATATCGTATGATTTGGTTTATAACTTAATGCAATGGATGAAAATTACACACATGTTTTCTTAACGCTATTGCTTTCTTAATGGTTATATCTTCGATGCCATCAGTGTGCACGACATCAATTTCACAGTAATAATTTCCAGGCTCAGTAACCATTATAAATAACAATTGTTAAAAATACTTTAATAAAAACATAAGCATGAGAATAACAATTAACTCTTTCCACGTTTTTATAATTGAGAACTACAGTTAATTATTCGGAATTTTTTTTGGCAAGAAACTGTAGTTGGCAACAGACTATTTATTACAAAGATGCTTTTGTTGCGTTAGAAGTACACTGCGGAAAAAAAAAAAAAAAAAAGAAAGAAAATTCTATTTCACTCATTCTACTAGTTCCATTGACGAAATTCAACATGTGTTTTTCATGTCTTGAAAGGGCGATTTAGGATATGTATTAGATTTATATAAGTCATTGTTCTAACATAGGTATTTTGGCACAAAACAGGACTTTTTCTTAAATAACATGTCGATTTTTTTTTCCATATTTCGATTCTACTACTCAAATGATGCCAAACTGCCAAGATTTGTGAAAAATTAGCTCTCAAAATTTTAGCTCCTCGATGTTCATTGAATTTGGTATATATTTATTAATCTCTCTTTTCTATTAAACTTACTTGAATCTTAGTTTCACATTTCTAAATTTAGGTTCATTCCAAATAAAATGCGCCCATTTTTAATGATTTATTTTTAAAATTTATTTTTTAAACAATTTTTATAAATTTTTGGAAAAAAATTTGAATTATAACCTATAAAATTTTTACCATCACCTTAAAGTAGATGTAATTCTGAGTACACCTGCAAAAAATTAAGAGTTTTTTATTCAAAATTTCCGAAGACGTACGTGAATTTATATATTGGCGAGTTTTGAAATTTGGCATATTTATGGAAAGCGGAATGAACGATGGACCTTTTGTCCGTTCATACATCAATTAAAAAAAAAGGAAGATAAGTGGGTTGCTATAATTTAAGAACTTCGCCAAATGAATTACGCCAAATGGTTACGCTTGGCGCAAACTGAAAAAAAAATGTGCCAAAAAAATTTTTAAATTTCTTTATATATTCCTCTCGAAAAATCACGAAATTTAATATCTAGGCATAATTTGAGTCATAGAATCGAAATAGGGGGGAGGGGAAGGCATGGCATTTCATAAAAAGTCCGATTTTGCGTCAGAATACCTTTATTAGAATAATGGGTACTTTTCCGTTTCGCCGGCGCAAATCTCGCCAAGCAGACTTTATTGGCGACAACATAAAATATACACATAAAAAATGTTAGTTCTAAGAATTTTTTAATTTTGAATGCATAATATCGTTTAAAATTTTGTAAAAATCCAATAAATAAAGACAATAAATTTGTAAAAAGACATTAATTTAAGAATTTACTACGCTTTCATGGTTCAACATCCCGATTCGCCGGTTCACATCACGTGACTCCAAGTGATCTCATTTCGCGTAAACTACGCTCCAAAAATCTAATTTTCTTAGTAATTATCTACAATAATTTCAAGTTAAATCATAATTTGAAATGCAGGTTTAAATGCAAGAATTATTTCAATTCGTACGAAAAGCTTACTCAGAAATTATGTTAAACCGTAGTGCTTTACTTCGCAAGTGCATTCTCATTAGAATGGATGAATTTAACCTTTGACTTTGAATTTCCTACATTTTCGCCTTCGAGTGAGCGGTGTAATTGCATCCTAATTAATTACCGCGAATGGTCTTACGGCATAAAATTTAACTAGTAAAAATTCTATGTAATTGTATGCCAGTATTGAAAGAAACAATCAATCTGAAAAGAAATGGTTGCGATTTGTTTTGAAATTGATGCCTAAAAGGTTACCAGTGAGGATATTACGTTTGGCATCAGTTGTATCATTATTGGCGACTTTATCGTCTGCGCCGGCGAAACGGAAAAGAATAATGCTATATATAAATCTAATATATAGCTTAAGTTAAGCTTTCAAGACATGATAAACGCAATTTGAATTTCGTCAATGGGCCAGTAGAACGGGAGATATAGAACTGTGCCATTTTTTTTTTCGCAGTGTACGCTGTTTCTACAAAACGTATTTAGGTACGGACAATTAAGAGTTCATAATCAAGATGCTGGTTTTACTTCACGGTCAATCAGAGGTGTATCTTCACTGGTTGTGCTGTTGGTGCCACATAAAGGTGTCTGCTGAGACTCACAATCAACTATTTTTTTGTCTTCCTCTTTCGCTTTTATTTCAGGATGCGCAGTCTTCCGCTTGACAAGAACTTTTGTCTTTTCATTAGCTCTGTCTTCTTCCTCTTCAACATCTGCATCTTCAGCACCCGAGGAGGAAGAGTTGTCACTTAATGCCAATTTATGAAGAGAACCCTGAGGGGACCAGACTGGTGTTCTACCGGATTCTGGAGACCTATTAACAATGGTTGCTTCACTTCGACAATAGGGTATGGGCATGGATGTTAAAGAATATGGAGTTAGTTGGCCACTTTGACTTTTACAGCAGAGGACAGCTTTCTGGCTGGAACTTTGTGTACTTTGACTAGATAAAGACCTCAAAAAACTCGGTAAGTTTTTGAGAGATATTTTTTTAAGCGAGTTATCTGAGACAGCCTTTCGCTGTTTGGAGAACAGTTTGAATTCAAAGCCCAGATTGGACATACTACGAGATTTGTTTTTGGAAATGTTATCCGAACTGATGTGAACTGTAGGAGAACCTCTGGGTTTCGGAGATTCTTTTCGCCTCGGGGCAGAAGCGATGAATCCACCATAGTAACTTGAAGATGGGCTTGCCCGTTGGCTAACTGACCTGAAATGTTTCCAAAAATCATATTTATTTAGATATAACTTCTGTAAACATATATAAAAGATTCTAGAGAACTATTTCGTAAAAAATAATTGTGATTTCTACGATTTTCTTTTCCTTAAGTCACAAAGAGGCTTTGTCCCTGAGGGACTATTGTTTTCGTTTTGGCATTTTGCGTTGAAATCTTTAAAAAGCTGTATCACTTTTCAAACTGTTGCCACCAAATAGTATCGCCCTGTATTATATTTGAAGAAATTAAATAATGAAGAATCTGCATAAACGTATGTATGTTTCTCGCATTGAGATAAAACAACGGTACCTAAAGCTATCCAATTTTGAATGACGTAATCCTACTGCGAATATGGGCATCTGGAAGACCAAATTTTAAATTTGGAATTTGTTTTATGATTGATTTCATCTTTTGTAAAACTTTAACGAATTTCTGATTAACAAACTCAAGGATTTCAAATCGAGTAATGGCAACGTTGTACAGAAAAAGTATTTTTATCTCCAGTGCGTGATACTCTGTATCGGAAATTCTAAAGATAGGGGCAATTTAAAACTATCTTGCGATATTGCTGTTGAACTGAATTTTATGGTTTAAGTGCGAAGAACATGATATCTAATAAATAAAGGCAACACACAAAATATTACAAAACGCCCCTTTGGACGCATTTTAAAATTTTAAAATTTGAAACCTTTCAGATTTTTTGTTATATATATATTGGCATGGATCTAAACTACATTTAAATCAGAAATGGTAAACAAAAATTTCAAGAAATATAAATGTACTGAAATTCAATAAAAAACTTGGCAAAATTCTTATGTTTAATGAGCTTATGTTTCTTATGTTATAAATAATTAAAAACGTAATCTTTAATGTACGAAATATAGGGGAAAAAAAAAAAAAAAAAAACTGTTCTGTAGTTTCCGTTCTACTAGGCTGATTGACGAAATTCAACTTGCGTTTTTCATGTTTCGAAAGCGCGACTTAGAATATGTATTAGATTTATAAATAGCACTGTTCTAACACAGGTATTTTGACACAAAATCGGACTTTTTCTTTTTTCTGAAATGGCATGCCAATTTTTTTTCCTATTTAGATTCTACGACTCACATTACGCCAAACTCCCAAGTTTTGTAAAAATCGCAAGAGTAGTTTTTAAAAAATTAGCTCTCAAACTTTTAGCTCCTCATTGTTAATTGAATTTGAAATATATATCGTTGCGTTTTTCTTCTGACACAAAGTTGTTACGTTATATTCTTCCTTCACGTTCGTACGGGGTTCGTGTGGATTTGGAGTGAATAGTGAATAACGACGATAGCACTTCATGGAATACCGAAATACACTTTATTTAGCAATATTAATCAGGACAGCTCCAAAGTCACGTTTTACAGTCGTCGAAGATCTACTATACACCCGCTGGAACAATCAGCGACACAGCCTTCAGGTTATCAGGCTATAACGGTAGAGACAGCTTCACTGCAAAGCACCAGGGTACAGCCCCCGACTCTGCTCGGTAGTTCTCGAAACTTCGCGTACTCTCGAGACTCTCCACGCTACAACTCGCGATGCGCTCGACGATACACAGAGCACAGCTCCCGACTCTTAGGTTCAGTCACTCCCGGAGCTCAACACGTTCGTTCTCTCGACGATGCACTAACACTACGAGATTCTTTCGGTGCACTCGACGACCCGCTCGGCACTCGCTGCCCGGTTGTCAACTCGATCGATTTCGCACAGACTAACGAGATGAGACACACTCTCTCGCACTCTATGAGGCACACTCTAACTGACCGCGGGTCGGCAGGGTTTATATAGCTTTCGGCTTGTGTTCGAGAACATTCTGGGCTAAACCGGTAAGAATTCGTTCCAGAAGGTTCTCCATCCGTCCATGGCATATCGTGAATTTTGTCGCCAAATAGGCGATTTATCGCCAAATGTGGCAACCCGACATTCTATTACCATTTTATGGCAACCCTAAAACTGCTTTGCGGGGAAGCTCCTTACCGCGCCTTGACATTTCGTAACAATATTTATTAATATCTCTTTTTTATTAAGGGGGCTCACACACCTTAAACCCCTTATGATCTTCGAATATGTGACTATTGCAAGAATTGCGTTATTTTATTTATTTTAAAAGCAATTACTTGGAACTTTTTATAGCTGATTGCATTATATAGCTGCTTTGGAAACTAGTAGCCAGAAAATTTGTGTTGCCACAAATATTTTTGTAATTTAATTCTCTTTGTGACAAAATATTTCGCCATGTTTCCACCTTGCGCGCACGATATTTTAAAAATGGCTAAAGGTACATACTTGAAATTTGTTGGAAATTTTTTATATGAGCACTATTTTTTAACTGAACCAAAAATCTGATGAATATTTTAATATTAAAAAATTTTATGCACGAAAACATTACAGATTTTTTTAATAAAATACCTGTTATAAACTCCACTCCAAATGAAATAAAAATTTAACATGAAATTCTTAGAATTTTTGGTTCACAGTAGTTTCTAAAATTTATGAAAGCTATACATTAAGTATGGAATTAAATTATGCAACAGAATGTTTTAAACTGTGCGCGCAAGTTGGAAACATGACGAAAAATGTTGTCACAAAGCGGATTAAATTATAAAAATACTTGTGCCAACACAAACTTTCTGATTACTATTTCAGAAAGCAGCTGTATTATGTAGTCAGCTGTAAAAAATTGGAAGTAATTTCTGTTAAAATAAATAAGTCACTCCAATTCTTGCAACAGTCACAGATTCGAAGATCTTATGGGTGTTAAGGTGTATGAGTCCCCTTAAACTTACTTGTTTCCTTCTTCCAGAATTCGAAATTTAGGCATAATCCAAATATACTCGTAATTCACACTTTTTTATGATTTATTTTTAAATTTGTAATTTTATATGTTTTTTATAAATATTTTCGAAAAAAATTTGTATTATAATGTACAAAAGTTTTAATATCCTAGATATATTTCTAAGTAAACCTGCCAAAAATTAATAGTTTTTTTATTCAAAATTTCCAAGGATATACGTTGAATTTACATATTGGCGCGTTTTGAAATTTGGAATATTTGTTCTAAGCGATAATAACGCCAAATGCGGTTTACGCACTTTGTCAAAATTATTTGAAAGTATGAACGACAACCTTTTTTTTTCCGCTCATCTATAATGAAAAAAATAAAAGGAAAATGGGTTGCTACAAATTAAGAAGTTCGCCAAGTAAATTATTCTTGGCGAAAACTGAAAAAAAAATTAAACAAGGTAAATTGTTGAATTTCTCCGTAAATTTCGCACGGAATTCTACATAATTTGAGTCGTAGAATCGAAATATGGAAAAAAATTGGCATGTCATTTCAGGAAAAGTCCGATTTTGTGTCAAAATGCCTAATAATCGTATATTCTAAGTCGCGCTTTTGAGACATGACAATTTGAATTTCGTCAGTCAGTCCAGTAAAACTGGAGATATAGAACTCATCTTTTTTTTTGGGGGGGGCAGTGTACATTAAGCGAACCTAACTAATATGGTCAAACGTTTGGATTAACACTGCCAGAGAAATAAAAGTGAAAATTTATTTTAGGGGGGGAAGGTAAAATATTAAGTGTTTACTGTATAACTATTTTAAGAAAAGATATTTAGAATTTGCAGCAAAGTTTGAGATAATTCGAAATTCTAAATTCATGATAATTACTGCATTCTAAATGAATAAACGAGTTTCCTAAGTCGCCTCTAATTCTAATAATTAGTTGCACCTCTAATTCTTAATTATATAATCCTCGGTTCTAAAAAGAACTTGCAGAAAACATAAATAATTACAATTGAATCGTCAAAAATATTATTTAAATAATAGATAATCGCATAGTTTACCTGGATGCATCCACGGTGAGGCTTGAGGTAGGATATTCTCTAGTTGTAGGGTTCTTATCCACGGGAGAAGATACGTCAAAATCCTCGCTGGGTTGTTCGGACAAGGAGGTGTCAACTGTTTCTTTACCAGAATCTGTCTTTCTGTCGTCTGAGGTAGATCGATCTGTAGATAAAGCGTGATCGTCCTTGGAAGTATTGGCTTCACTGCTCTCTTCGTTGCTTGTCTCAACGAGGCGATTGTAGAAGCAGTTGAATTTATCTTCAAGCTCTTTGCTTTTAAATCTGTAAGAACAGAACAACAGAGCTTTTGAAATCCCAGAAGTATGTTTGATTATTAAAAAAAAAAAAAAAAAATCTGAAATGTTTCAGATTTTAAATTACGTCCAAAGGGGCGTTTTTTAACATTTTGTGTGTTACCTTTCTTTATTAAATATCATGTTCCTCGCACTTAAACCATAAGATCCAGTGCAACAGCAATATCGCAAAATAGTTTTAAAACGAGCCTATCTTTAGAATTTCCGATACAGAGACTCACGCGCTGGAGATAAAAATGTTTTTTCTGCACAACGTTGCCATTGCTCGCTTTGAAATCCTTGAGTTTGTTAATCAAAAATTCGTCAAAGTTTTAAAAAATAGGAAATCGATCATAAAACAAATTTCAAATTTCAAATTTGGTCTTTCACATGCTCATATTCGTTGGAGGATTACGTTATTCAAAATTCGATGACTCTATGTACCGTTATTTTATGACAATGTGAGAAATATACATACATTTACGCAGATTTTCATTATTTAATTTCTTCAAATATAATGCAGGACTCTAACATTTTATGGCAACAGTTTGAAAAGTGAACCGACATTTATCCGTCCGACGCAAAATGCCAAAACGAAACTAATAGTCCTTCGGGATTCAAATCCCTTTGGACTAAAAAAACTAACATAGTACGTAGGCAAGTCAAAAATTATCTACACTTTTGTCATAACGTTTCTCACATTGTGCACTTTGTCTTCTGTCCTCGCATATTTTATTGTCATACTGTTGGGGTAATGCTGTGAAAGTTTGATCTTAATTCCTCCATTTTTCTTCCTTCTGTTGCAGATATATCATGCCTTCTACATTAGAAGTTTGCACCAAAGAGGAACAACAAGCAGTGATCCGAATCTTCTGGTCGGGGGGGGGTGTCAAAGGGTCAGACATTTGTCGCAATATGGGAGAAGTACACTATCACGTAAAATTGTGTTTTACGTGAAAACTTTCTTGGTACCCACGGTGCACAGACTAGCTCATGGTGGATGATTTGATGGGCAGAGTCTTGATGTTCAAAGCAGATGCTACCTCATCGATAGTGATTCGTCTATTCATGTCAGACCCTTTCACAATCTCCGACCAGAGGAATGATCTCGTTGTTCCTCTTTGGTCTTTTTTGTTTTTGCTTTGAATAAAACTCTAAGACTTTTCAAGTACGTGTGTCAATTTTTACCTCTCTACCTACATTATTCCGCGAATTATTGAATTTTTAAATGTTAACAGATTTTTGCGTCACCCGGTATACAGTCAAAAGTCTTTAATCCGGACTCGTCGGGACTTCGGCGATTCCGGATTATCGATTTTTTCGGATTATAGATAATCAGTTTAAATCTGGTAAGATGGAATGCAGAAATTATAAAATTAAAAATATGAAACCGTAATTTATGAAATAAAGAACAATTATGATATAAAAGGTATCAAAATTTACAAAAAAAAGCTTAATATTTATTTGTTTACTTTATTAAACATTTCTTTCAATGTAAGTTGTTTAAGTTGCTTCGTTTTTTATGTGATAATACATTCTCTTTAATTCTATAAACAGACACAATTTCTTGTTCAGTTACAAAGTTCCGCTGTTCAAGTCCTATAATTGCTGTGTCGAGAATACCGACTAATTTGTCAATCGAAATTTGTTCGTTTTCAATAACCTTTTTGTCACTTTCTTCACTATCGGAAGCGAATTATAATGACGAGGAATTTGATTTAAATCATATCAAAGACGGAGTACATCGAGATGAAATACTACATTTAGTAAGGAATTATAAGCCAAATAAAATCAAAACATCTGCCCTGAAGATAAGGATAGTGCTGACAGATCCCCTTCCAGTTTATTGCGCGCCGCGACGTTCCCCCTCCCGCAGAGCAGCGTGAAATTGATAAACAAATTTCGGAATGGTTAGAGAAACAAAGGATATGCCTTTATCCATTTTTTTTTGCAGCAATTTCACTTTTTGTTTGATGGACATAGAAACATACTTTCGCTTTGTAGATTCTTTGGTAGCTCCAGCATCGGAAATTCTATTTGACATAATCGAAAGTTCAAGCTTACCTTTATAAAATTGCTCAACAGTCTGCAAAAAATTAATAAGCCGGATCCAATTCGAAGATTAAGGAACAACGCAATCTGAAATAGATAATTAGATAATTTTAGCTTAGCTTATACCGTCCGTTATACATTAAGCGCGAATGCGTAAACGTATTATGCGCATGCGCACACGCATGTGTAAAGGTAATATGCACATGCGTGAACGCATGCGCAGAAAGTTTGCAGCTTTGAGGTCCGGATTATAGATTATTCCGGATTATGGGTGTCCGGATTAACGACTTTTGACTGTATTATACTTTACTGCTATGTTTCTAAAATCGCCGTTATGTGAAAATAAAATGTGTGTAAAACGGAGTTTTACATTCGTAATATGCATATTTTATCAGCATAAAATGATAGAAATATAATGCTAAATAAATGTATACCTGGGAAAACATATGTAGATTTCAAGAAAAATACGCGTATAAAGTGAGCAGTAGATTTAGTACGAAAATAGTTGATTCAGGCAATTTTTGTTGGCCAAAAATGCATGTAAAAGGTACAGGAGATTTAACTGAATTTTCACCTAAATTATACCTATATTCATAGTTAAAAAACCTGAGGAAAATCTACGTAAATTTCTGCGTAAAAGATACGTTTATAAAAAATTGCGTAGGTTTCTGTAAATTTTCACTAAAAATATACCATACATCTATAATTATCCGAACTCCGACTATCCTAATCGCTTTCAGAATTTTAGAATCAACTGAAGAAGAGTAGGAAAAGGAGAAAAAGGAAAAAGAAGCTCAAGAGAAGGAAAGGTAAGAGACAGAAGATGAGGATGACGTGCCATTTAAGGAATTAAAAAACATTCTTTTGGCAAATTCCTCGATGTTCGGAAGTTAAGGCTGAAGATACACTATAATGATTCGTCAGACCTTGGGTGTCAAATTCTAAATGATGAACTTGCTGAAAGAGTGAGAGAAGAATGTGTCGAGGAAACCTTAATGTCGAATTTGAAACAGACACGGGACCATCAGTTAGTGAAGCGTTTGCCGGCCTTGAAACTGCTCTGAAGGTGGATGAAGCATCAGCCGGATTTACTTTGACAGAAATGTTCAGCAAGCTATGACTTTCAGCATTTGTAAGTACTGTACTACAGTACGCTATATAACATGTACGTAAAAGTATTGCCTTTTCCTTTTAATCACTTAAAACCATCTTTTTCTTCAAAAATTGTTTCATAAGAATAAATTGAATTTAATTAAACAAATTAAATTTAAATAAATATTTAATTAAATATTCTTTGCGCCATTGCTGCAAGGAATGAAATTTAAATTTAAACAAATTTAAATTCTTAACAAATACGTATAAAAGTAAAAAAGCAAATTTAAATTCTAAAAAAAGGAAGAAAACCAAAATAATTTAAAATAATTTTAAAAAAAAAATGTGCAAACATGTAAAAGATTTAATTCTCGAACTAATCTACAATATCATTTAAATTCAGAAGCATAAGCAAATCAAGTGCAAAATCTATTCATGAAAATAAATCTACTAATTTAATAAATTAAAATTAAATTAAACATTTTTTTTAAAAAATGCATATGTGAATGACCGTAGAGTAGGCAGGAGACAGACTTATCAAGGGGAAGTTGCCTCCAAACCTAACTCTCCAATCATTCAATTCGTGTTTCGTCATTCATGCAGGCAAGGGTAAAAGTCAAAACCAAAAGTAATTCCAATAAAGTGGTACCCTTAGAAATTAACATTTAAGTATTAACATTTAAGAATTAAAGTTCAAAAAGGAAAATACTAATGAAGTCTTTTGAGTAAGTAAAGTCAAGAATTAAACTTTTTTTTTAAAAAATTAAATTTTTTAAAATTAATTTTTTATAAAATAATAAAAAAATCTAGAAACCAATGTATTTTAGAAATCCTTATCTACAGAAACTTATCAATAAAAAGAAACTATAAAAGAACTATACATAATCCATGTAAACCAATAAGAAACAAAAAGAACTAATTCACAATTTTTAAAAAACAAATATATATTTAAAAATATAATTTCATATTTAGAAAATACTTAGATACTACATAAAAATTTAAAAAAAAAAAAAATACTTAAAGCAAGTAAATAGTAAGTTTTAATTCTAACTTACCTACTATATGAGTGTTGGGGTCTGCAAAAGTGTTGTGAAAGAGAAGTAAGTGTGTTCTTCAAATTATATAGATGGCGCTTATGTAGATAAAGTTGAGTGTCAAGCTGCTATCTTTGTTATAGTAAAAAAATTTTTTGTAAACATTAATATTAAAAATTAAATTAAATTAATTTAAAATCCTAAAGGTAGTAATATCAATTATTTAGGGAGTTAAGTAACTGAGCCAATCAAGAGATGTAAGTTTGCTTGAAGGAAATTAAAGTGAAGTGGTATGTGAAAAAAAATGTAAACTGTTTGTAATCTGAAATGTGTGTGTTCTGTTGAAAAATTGTGAAAATTGTTAAAAAAAATTAAGTGAAAGATATTTTGTGTGAAAATTGCAAAAAATTAAAGTAATTAAGAAGAACTGAAATGTTTTAATATTAAAGTTTTAAAGAAAAATATATTTCTTCCATTTTCAACATGCAGTACATACAATAATTTATTAAAATGTACATAAATCCTTTCTTCGGGAAAAAAATCCAGTTATCTGAATCGGGTCCGGTCCTAATTGATTCGGATAATTGGAGGTTTACTGTACTAAGTAGAAAAATGGTAAGTTTTATGCATGTGATATGAACATGGGTAAATTTTCACCAAAAATATACGTCAACTTTTTGAAATGGGCGTATTATACGTAAATACGTACGTATTAAACGAATAAACCGCGATCCTAACCGCGCATGAATATACCTAAATTATACGTATAAGCTTAAGTATACTGTAACGCAAAAATATACCAAAATATCTACTATTTTTTCCGGACACATTTTATGATATTCTTACGTTTAAAATTCTTTTATATACGACGGACCTGTCTGGGTTAATAACTGTTGTTTCAAAAGTTTGCTCACCGTGCCACAAAATTTCTTAGCCAATTTCAAATTATTTCCAGAATTAAACAGACATTTTGTAAGGATTTTATTTTATTCTAACCAATCATTTTTAGTTTTACTTTCCTTTCCCTCCTGATTTCAGCTTCCTGCGGGAATGTAAATTTGTAATGGCGTAGTATGCTAATCTAAATGTGTTTCAGAAGCAGTATTTAAGCTGCGTTTCAAGAGTTCGAAAAGAGTAGTTCCGAGTTTATGCTGCGTGTTTGAATTTAGCTCTCTAGTAGGTGTTAGACGTCTTTCAGTTTTTATACTGATAGTTCAAGGCTTGGCTTTGCAGTGTGCAGACGATTTAATGTTTAGTTAAGCTAAGGAGCCAGTCGTAGCCATCTTAATTTAATGTGCATTTTACATTTTTATTTTCTGTTAATTTAGTTAGCCACAAGTGAAGGTGAATTTGCGAACACCAAGTGCGTGCATCAGTTTATTTTAGTTCAAATAAAAAGGTGTAGAGTCATTAGGTTAATTAGAAGCAGAAAAGATGAAAAATATGCAACCACCTTCGCCGGGAATCGAATTACGGACCTCTGAAATACCGACTCAGTGTGCAGAACCACAATACCACGAAGGCTCGCTAGGAAAGTGGGAGAAATACCTTATATACTCCCCTTTTTAAAGGGCGACTAGGGTTTTAGGGGACCTAGTGGCCAAATCCTGGGTGTGGAGAATCATCATCCACAACCTTTTTAGTTCGGGCGCCACTTGTAGATTCATTAAGTTAATTGGAAGCAGAAAAGATGAAAAATATGCACCGCCTTCGCCGGGAATCGAACCACGGACCTCTGGAATACCGGCCCAGCGTGCTACCGTTACACCACGAAGGCACGCTAGGGAAGTGGGAGAAATACCTTATAAAGGTTATTTGAACCTTCTTCTGCAGTATTTATTCTTTAATATTTATAGCGAGAATTCGCTACTCCATCTTACCAAAGAGAACCCGCAGATTATAACTGGATCTCCAAATAAACAATTCTTTTTTATTTCATGGTTTCCAAAGAGAACCCACAGACTCTATAATTTGATCTCCAAATAAACAATTAATTCTTTTTTATCTCATGGTTTCCAAAGAGAAGCTACAGACTCTGTAACTGGATCTCCAAATAAACAGTTCTTTTTTATCTCATGGTTTCCAAAGAGAACCCATAAGACCCAAAAAAACCCATAATTTTATCTGCAAATAAACAATTGTTTTTATCTCATCGTTTCCAAAGAGAACCTGCACACCCTATAATTTGATCTCCAAATAAACAATTCTTTTTTATCTCATGGTTTCCAAAAAGAACCCATAAGACCCATAATTTTATCTCCAAATAAACAATTCTTTTTTTTATCTTATAGCTTCCAAAGAGAACCCACAGACTCAGTGGCGTAGCTGGGGTGGGGGCAAGGGGGGACATCTGTCCCCGGGCCCAGCATCGAGGCGGCGCCAAATTGATGCTACGAAATTTTTTAATGAAATGTTTTCCATTCTTGGCACACAGAAAGGGGGCGCGAATTCTTCAGTTGTCCCCGGGCGCTGGAATCCTAGCTACGCCATTGTACAGACTCTATAACTGGATCTCCAGATAAACAATTCTTTTTTCTCTCATGGTTTCCAAAGGGAAGCCACAGACTCTATAATTTGGTCTTCAAATAAACAAGTCTGTTTTTATCTCATGGTTTCTCTTTCGATCCTCAAGAGCTACAGGGCTATCATAAATCGCAAATTCATCCCTTTTCCATGAGGATATAACTATGGTATTTCAGCTGCCCTGCTCCGAGGAAACTTAATCTCACTACAGGTCGACTCTACCTTTGGGCACGTCGTGGAGGTTCAACCTCCACTATTACCCTCCAGTAGAGCCGCGCAACACCTGGATATGACACCAGGCAGCACCGGTCGTCAATTGCTCCTGCCAGTCGCTCGGGCGAGCCCGTCGCAGCGGGACATTACCCAGCGACCCCGGGGGGTTACTAGCACCACGCCGCGCTAGGACATGCCAGACTCCGAGGCCGGCCAATAAGTGACCTTTCCCAGAGCCTTCAGAACCACCAAGTTCATAAATTTTATACCCCCGTGGCCGAGACTGCCTAGGTACAGATCCTAGCCAGTAGCTTCGCAGAATTCTCTACGTCGACCCCCGGGGGGAATGAGGATATAAGAGAAATTAAGGATATGAGAGAGCAAATGGCAAGATATTAATGACCTACCTCAACGAAGGCAACGTCTCTCGTCTTCCGCAAGTTGCACAAACGCCTTTCTTCACCACAGGCGTAACAGTAGGCGACTTTCTCAGAATCGCAGTCTCAGTGGGTCCACCCCTATACAAAGGGGCTCTGGGAATATGAGAGGCTTCTTCCATGACAGCACCTTGCCGGCACAGCCTGGGCTTCTCGCGCAAGTTTGAAATAGTGACGCCACGGACGAAACGTGCCGGTATATCTCCATTCGTACCAGCAGCTGCTTTCCTGTAGGTGCTAACAGACGCTGCTCTTTCTTTTAAGCTACAGCCAGGTCGAGAGCTGGAAGCATCGCTGCTGACACTGGATCGGGAAAGCCTATTCAAATATAAGGCATAGTATTTAAATAAACAAGAGGAGGTTGACATACATGACATACAATAACAAGAGGAGGTTCAAATTCATCCTGCATCTTCCTACGCAGTCGGTTTAGAAAAAGGCTTATTCTAGACACATTACAATAACATTAGTTGTAATTATATTTAATAGCAAAAAATACTGACATTCAATTTAAGATTAATAAATGCATTAATTTTGCTTCTACATATTCGCAATGCCAAAAATTAAATAACTACAAAAATGCTTGAGGAAATAATAAGAAATAAATATTGCTATTAAAAGTACGCTGCGGGGGGGGGGGAGAATGAAGCAATTCTATATCTTCCACTCTACTGGGCCGATTGACGAAATTCAACTTGGGTTTTTCATGTGTCGAAAATATATATAAATTTAATAGATATCCTAAGTCACGAGACTTAGGATATGTATTAAATTTATACATAGCATTGTTCTAAAGTAGGTATTTTGACACAAAATCGGACTTTTTCTCAAGTGACATGCCAATTTTTTTCCATATTTCGATTCTACCACTCAAATTATGGCAAACTGGCAAGTTTTGTATAAATCGCTCGAGTCCTTTTTAAAAAATTAGCTCTCAAAATTTTAGCTCACGCATGTTAATTGAATTTGTTATATATTTATTTAATATTTTTTTTTAATTAAACTTACTTGATGCCTTGTTCCAGAATTCGAAATTTAGGTTCATTCTGAGTAAAATTCTCCCATTTTTTATCATTTAATTTTTAAATTTGTATTCTTAAATAATGTTTATAAATTTTTTGAAAAAAAAATTGTGAATTATAGCCTAGAAAATTTTTACCCTCATCTTAAAGTAATGCAAAAAAATTAGAATTTTTTATTCAAAATTTCCTAGTATATACCTGAATTTACATATTGGCGAGTTTTGAAATTTGGCATATCTGTTATAAGCGATAATAGCGCCAAATGTAATTTACGCACTTTGTTAAAATTATTTGAATGTATGAACGATGACTTTTTCCCACTTGTTTACAACGAAAAAGAGGAAAGGAATATAGGTTGCTACAAATTAAAACGTTCGCCAAGTGAATTAATTTTGGCGCAAAGTGAAAGAAAAATCCACCAAGATAAATTTTTGAATTTCTCCGTAAATTTTGCCGCGAATTTTACAAAATTTAGCATTTAGGCAGAATTTGAGTGGTAGAATCGAAATACGAAAAACAAATTGGCATATGATTACAGAAAAATACCGATTTTGTGTCAAAATACCTACATTAGAACAATGCTATATATATATGTAATACATATCCTAAGCCGCGCTTTCGAAACATGAAAAACGCAATTTGAACTTTGTCAATCGGCCTAGTAGAAAGGGAGATATAGAACTGTCCCTACCACCTTTTTTGCGCGGTGTACATTCAGCTTTTCAGAATGTTGATATAAAAAGACTGATGAAACAGTACAATAAATGAATTTTAAAATATTGGAACTACTCTGATATGCGCCCTCAAGTCGCGCCAAATTTCTCGCCAATTCACGCTGCCATATTGCTATCTAAATTTTTTGTCTATATTTCGAACTTTAAGCCTAAAATGTCTCCAAAAACGCGATTTTCGCACATGCAAAAACTGCGTTTTGAACACACGATTTAGCTCTAAAATCCGAAACAAAAAACAAAAAATTTAGATAGCAAAAACGTAAATTTCTTACCAAAATATTTGACAAGAATCCATGTACACAGCGAATGTTTTAACTTAAAAAAACATCTACGAATGGCACAATGTAGGCAACGAACGAATCTACGAACTACGCACACCTCGCTTTAATAAATTAACATAACAATAAATTTCAAAGAATACCATGCACACAGCATCCTGTTTAAACTTAAAAAAACATCTACGAATTGCACAATTTAGGCAACGAACAAATCTACGAACTACGCACACTTCGCTTTAATAAATTAACATAACAACAATAAATTTCAAAGAATACCGTGTACACAGCATCCTGTTTAAACTTAAAAAAACATCTACGAATTGCACAATTTAGGCAAGAAACGAATCTACGATTTACGCACACCTCGCTTTAATAAAATAGCATAATAACAATAAATTTCAAATAATACCATGTACACAGCGTTCTGTTTCAAAAACAACAATAATGACAGAAATTCATACTAAATAACCAATGAACATAACATTCTACAAAATAAGAACAAGAATAAAATAAAATGCATTTACCATGAATTCGAGCAGCAGAAATACCAATTTCATACCGCCTTTAACATGCTGCCACGTAATCACTATTGTATTTACATGACAGTCAGATACACTCCAGAAAATTCATACTATGGTTCACAAATAAATAAAATCACGAATCCCTACTTCTATCATGCACAGCCATTAAAAATAATCTCCCAGACCCTCTTTTCCACACCTCCAAATACCCACTACCCCTCAACAGGATGGCCACAATGATATTTCCTTTTGCCGAACTTCAATTCAACAACTTCTACCATTTTATCTTTCCCTTCCATCTTCTCAGAAGACACAGACGCGAATCAACGAGCTCCAGCCAAAGAATCTCTAAGGAGAAGAAGTAAAGGCTCCTCGAGGCAAATGTGGCTCCGTCAGACCGAAGAGACACATTATGTATATCTCTGAAGCTTACTTTAAAGGGGCAAACCAACCCAAAGCTATCCACCCTCCATAGCTCACTGCGCATGTGCGAAATAACATCAGGAGACGACAAAGCAGCATGCCGTCGGCCATATTAGCAATCTTTTACCACGTTGTTAGAAAAGGTTCTTTGTTGTTGTAGTCAGAGATACTTGGTTTTAGTTATGTGAAATTCTTTTAGAGACTTTTTAAATGTAATGCTGTACGTGAAATTGTTTTGACTATTGGGTGAAAACTTTGCTCTTGGTTTTCACAATGGTCATTCCAAATAATTGTCTAAAAGTTTTCATGGTAATTTGTTTTTAAGTTGTTGTCGGATAATTATTAATGTATTTCAGTGTTTTCGATTATTTAGGGGTGCATTTAATTGTCTTTAATTATTTTTTCTGTTTCAGCTAGTTATTGCAAATTTTCTTTTAAAATTTCACTGTAAAATTTTAACTATGGATTCATAAAAATTCATTACGTTTTGTATGGCATGTGTTTCCCCTCCCCTTTTCAAGTTTACAGAAAAAAAGAATTAAGAAATTTATTTCTTTTAAATTTTATCTTCGTATGGCTCGCTGTTTAAATTGAAAGTAAAAATTGGACTAGATTTCTATAATTCCGCCCAAAATTCCAACTAACATCCTTTTGCTCATAAAACTCCAGAAATGTATGAAAATAAAACATTTTGAGTTATTTTAAAGTAAAAAATTTACTATCTCCTCAAACTGCGCTGTTTAAATTCCACCCTGCGCTGTTGTTTCACCGTCTAGCTGTGGCTCTTCGTTACAGCGGCGCAGAGGCGAAACAGGTTTACATTGCGTCTATGGAAGCTTTCATTCTTCTCCTTAGAGATTCTTTGCTCCAGCGAAAGATTGTTCAACGTCAACAGGGTTGCCATAGAACACGCAATCGCGCCAAAAACCAGCGCAGAACATATATCGCCACATTTGGTGAAATTAGGGCGTATATCAGAGTTGTACCAAAATATTTCTATGCCTAACTCCTAACAGAATAATAAAACAAAAAATTTATTTCTTCATATTTTAACTGAAGTAGCTTAATGATAAACCAGCTTTTCTACAGTGCAGAAATTTAATACCTTTTTTTTATTTCAAATTTGCTAAGGTGAAAAATTATCACTTTATAAATCATTAAGTACTTTATTCAGCTGCACGCATATCTATGAGCCCTTTGTACAGCGACACGCATATGTAGGAAACAGTATTTAAATTTCGCAGTTTGGACTTATAGTTGCGCTTTTAGAGATTTTCAAAGATCACCAGGAAGGTATATTTTTATAACGATCAACAGTTCAGAAAGGTATGTGTATGTATGTGTATTCAATTATGGCAAAGCACACTAGGGCTATCTGCCTAAGGGGAGGGATGCCTTCGTGGAGGACTTTCTAAGGGAAATTGGCTCGTATACACGTTACACGTGGGGAAAACCACGAAAACACCCATGCAGCCAGCCCGTTCGCGGGATTCGAACCTCGGACCGAACTACCAGTGTTCAGCGACTTTACCGCTCGGCCGCTGGTGGGCAGTTCAGAAAGGAAATAAGAAATTGTGAAGTGATGTCAGACAAATGCACTAAGTGTAGACCTTCAGCATTTTGAAAGTGTCTGTTAAAGATATTTCTAAGACCAAAGTCAGAAAATTTTAGGATGTTCCAGCAATTGTAATCTCGAATTTTATTTTTATAATAAAATTCAGAGTTTCCAATTACAGTCATGTTTCTTTCATATCGGTTTATTCTTATTCCGAATTTTGTTTTGAAATAATTGATTTATTTCATAAATGCTATGCCCATAAAAATAGAAGACGAGATATGATTATTAAAGTAAGCAAACAGAACTGATTATTATTCTAAACTTCCATTATATCTAAATACCCGGTGATCCAAAAATAACAGAAAAAAGTGAACATTTAATAATTAGAAAAACATAGACAGTAGCACTACGCGGTTTTCACCGAAATACACGAGATTTTTTAACATCGAGGCCAGAGAATGACGTTTCCATAAGGAAGTGAGCGACGATCATTCTCAAGATGTACGCTTAAAAATTCGAACACGTATAGGGACCAAAATGGAACTAAACTTGTAGAGTCATTAGGTTAATTGGAAGCAGAAAAGATGAAAAATTAGCAACCGCCTTCGCCGGGAATCGCATTACGGACCTTTGGAATACCGGCCCAGCGTGCAGCGTGCAGAACCACTACACCACGAAGGACGATAGGAAAGTGGGAGAAATACCTTATATACTCCCCTTTTTTAAAGGGCGACTAGGGTTTTAAGGGACCTAGTCGCCAAATCCTGGGTGTGGAGAATCAT